CGAAAGTGTCTAGTGGACGCCTCAGCAGTGGTACCCTTGGAGGACATTTAGGTTGATGACAGCCTGAACTACATTGAGCGACTGGTGGCAATCCTCGACCGGAAGTCGAAGGATTTGAGGAACAAAAGAGTGGAACTCGTGAAGGTGCAATGGCAGCACCGCAAGGGGTCGAAGTAGACTTGGGAGCCGGCGGACGAGATGATGGAACATTACCCCAAGCTGTTTCAGGATCGAGCAGCAGACTTCGATGACGAAGTCTAAAATGAGTGGGGGAGATTTGTAGCACCTGGTTCTTGGTACGTATTATTTTAATTAATATTTTGCATTTTGGCCTTGGACTCGGCGAGTTGAAGGACCAACTCGCCGAGTAGAAGCGGGATGAGACGCGGGGTTTAAGCTGTGGACTCGACGAGTTGGGTCCCGGACTAGGCAAGTAGGCCCTGTCTGGACAAAAACCCTAACCTGAGGGAAACACCTTAACTTGGCCTTTTTCATCCCATTTTCTCCCAGTAGACCCCCATAGCAAACCCTAGCCGTTATTGAAGCAATCTAAGGCATTTGGAGTGATTTTGGTGCTTTTGTGACCCAAGGAAGGAAGGAAAAGCTTGAAGGATCAAGAGGGGGCTAGAAGGATCCGATTTTCAGCATCATTTGTAGTCTTCAGAAGGTATAAAGTCTATACCTTGTTAGTTCTTTTGATAGATCCCATTTTGTGGAGTTTTAGGGCTTTTCTAAGCCATTTTGGTCACCAACCATGATTGAAAGCATGGTTTGGAGTTGATGTTTCGGATCTAGGTCTTTAGAGGGGTTACAAGGCAGAAAGGAGTGGCTCTTGCACTCAAAGAAGGCCCCATGCATTGAAAGAGCTTGTTTTGAGGACCTTTTGAGCTCAAAGGCCCATGCAAGCACGTAAAGGTTGTAACTTTACGTGCTAGATCGATTGTAGAAGCATAGATCTATATTTTGATCAAGGATTGTACATCAGAAATCGAAGATTTAGTGAGAGGATGTGACAAACTCGATGAGTCCAAGGTTTCTGTCCCATATCAGTTGAGGGTCATAAGGACCCAATTGAGTGTGGAAAGGTTTTAAGGGGGTCCTGGGGAGTGACCCAACGTTCTGGACTAAGCCATTGTTCTGGAAGTTCATGGGACTCGATGAGTGCATGAGCAGACTCGGTGAGTCCAAGGCAAACTTCTTAAGGATGAAGATGAACTCGACGAGTTGTTCATACAACTTGGCGAGTCAAGGACAGGACTTGTGTATCAGTTGAAGATGAACTCGACGAGTTGTTCATACAACTTGGCGAGTCAAGGACAGGACTTGTGTATCAGTTGAAGATGAACTCGACGAGTTGTTCATACAACTCGCAGAGTCGGATGATGATTCAGTCGATGTTCATTTAAAAGGAAAACTCGTCGATTCATCGCCTAACTCGACGAGTAGAGACGAGTATAACGACAAATGGAAGGATAGGGACTCGGCGAGTTGGCAAGCCAACTCGGCAAGTCAGGTCAATTAGAAGTTGACTTTGACTTTGATTTGGTTAGGGGTAAAATGGTCATTTTACCCTAAGAACAGTTAGCGGTGTATGACTAAGTGTTTTGTGGGAATTATAGCCGGAGGATTTTCGGAGCAGCAGCGGCAGCAATCAAAGGATTCCCGCACAGATCAACAACTACTATGAGGTGAGTTACCTTCCAGTAACGGTGATTCTACGGCCACAATGCCGACCCACCAGTAGGAGTTATGTGATTAGATGATTGTCTTTGTGATATCATCTAGGTTTGCTACTACCTGATATGGTATATGCTGGCATGATATGTTATATGTGATAGTAGTAGAGTTTGGTTGTTAGGACCGAAGGGTAGGTCAGACACCCCATATATGTCTGATAATATGTGCTGATATGTTTACATGTTGGCATGATAAGTTATATGTGATAGCGGTAGTACGAGGGGAATAGTCCCCAAGTTTGGTTGTTAGGACCGAAGGGTAGTTAGGACACCCCATATATGTCTGATAGTATGCTTATGTTATGATATATGTGATAGTAGCAGTAAAGGGTGGAATAGTCCCCGAGGGTCGGTTGTTAGGACCGACGGATAGGACGGCACCCCAGAATGGCCGCATGGGTAGGACGGCACCCCAGAATGGCCACAAGGGTAGGTCGGCACCCCAGAATGGCCGTACCGGGTAGGTCGGGCACCCCAGAATTACCCTGCAGTATGTATGCTTTGTGATTGTATGGAATGTTGTACGATGGGGGAACTCACTAAGCTTCGTGCTTACAGTTTACAGTTTTGGTTTCATGTACCTCTTCAGCGAAGGGGAAGGAGCTGACGCGGTAGCGGCACATCATACACACACTCTTAGTTTTCCGCATTATGAGTTATTCTGGGATTTGTACTTTAACATTATTATGTTTTTACGATTCGGTTTTCAGATACGAGACATGTTTTATTTAATGATATGATCAGATGATATTTTGTTACAAATGTTTTGCAAATCACTTAATCAAAAATGAAATTTTTAGACGTGAAAATTGGGTCGTTACATCGTTCACTCTTGTTCCAAGAATTCCAAATGCAAATTTACTCTTCAACAAGGGGTCCTGAAAACTATACATGACTATATAACTGTCTATAACTACTTGTAACAGAATATTTCATAGAAAAGACTAAAATGCCCTTAAGGCTAAACAAACTCTAATGACTTAACGACTTATATTGTAACAGTTTTGAGCTGTGGGAACAGAAAATGGTTGCGGAAGTTCCATATCAGCCAAAAAAATACCATCATGGTTGCTTACTGAATCGGGCATAAAAGATTGTTGTTGTGCATGAGGTTCTTACATTGGGATTGGATTGATTAATTATCAAGGGAACTGCAAGCATAAACGGTTTTCACGAATCATATAGATTACTTGCATATATATTGCCATGAAAAAAAGCCTCCATCCAAAATGTAGGGGGAAGTGAGCTTGGAAAAAAGGTATGCAAGGGACATTCTTGATAGTTCGAAGCATACACTTAGATTTCTTGCTTTGTTAGGAATGTATACGGACAAAAAGCATAAATGAACAACATTGTTAGCAAAAAAAATGGAATTGGGAGTTGTCAAATTCCCCTGTTGTCACGTTGAAGCTATTTAATGGTGTATTTAAATTGATTTTTAACATCCGTGAAGAATTTAGTAAAACTAGTAAACACATATAATTTATGTCTAATTGGAAACACCCACAAGAAATGAGAATGCGAGTCGAAAAAGTTAACATAGTATTTGAAACCACTAGTATTTGGAATTGGAGATGTCCAAAATGAATGACATTAAATAACGAACTAGCATTTGAAAATGACAAACCAATCGAGTTTGTTTTCCAAGTTGACATGCATGATATTACATGAGATAAGACTTTAGAACAAAAAATAAAATTATAGGAAATTAAAGATTGAAGGACTTATCACCAAGGTAACCAAAATTTTGATGCCAAATAGATGAATATGATTACACAAAAGCTTAAGGTAAGGATGACGTCATTAGATAAAGATCATTGATAGTCCTTCACAGAAAAACCTAAACTCATCAAGCTCAATCAAACATTTATTGATTTAGTAATTGTCGAACAAATATTAGATTTTTTAATAATATTTAGGGTGATAAGGACATTGTGAAGGTGTAAGGGTAGGTATGGATGGGTATAATGGTGCGGTCGGTTCATATCACAGGAATAGAGAACCTACTATCGATAAAAATAGATTGGAAATAACCATTGTTTGAAATGGATGATAATATACATGTGTCACTGTGGAGATGAGAGGTTGTGCCAGTGCATGTACCACCTATTATCACCATGATTTACAATCTCATAGTACTAACAAGTTATGCAAAGAAGAGAAGTTGGCTCATCCAATCAGTAGGAGGTGCAACTCAGAGCTGCTAGTTGGTAGTGCCGTGATAGGACTAAGCATCACAAAACCTCTCTTCGGTATCGATCAGTAGGAGGTGCAACTCAGAGCTGCTAGTCGGTAGCGCCGTGATAGGACTAAGCATCACAAAACCTCTCTTCGGTATCTGCTAACGGTCTCCGTTGTTTGTTGGTTGTCAGTGATTGTTTCCACCACAATTTATTTAACTCGCCTCTACAATAATTGTAGAATACCCCGATTTGGTGACCAAAACAGATGGAGATGATGAATGATCAAAATGTAACTGATAAAATTGTATTTAATTAAAAATTTTCATTTATTATACTCTTACAGTCTTTACCCTTGAAACCTATGTTATATTTTTATTGAATTTGCACATAATATATAACAAAAAGATGCACTTGATAAAAAAAATAACACATATCTTGCTTTGGGGCTAGGTCTAAGGCCACCGACCACTTAGTCGGAGTTGGTGTAGATTTAAAGAATTAAAGAAAGAAAAGGAAAACACATGTGTATACATGTTTATGGGTGTGTGGGTTTAGGTGTGAGCATATATGTGTGTATGTGTAGGTATAAGTTTGGGGGTAAGGTGATGTAGGGTGGGTGATTGGTGTAGGCTTGTGGATATGGGCGTATGCATGTAGATGTAGGGGAGGGTGGTGGAAATGGGAGTGGGGAAAGCTAGGGTATGTTTGTGTGGGACGTCCACATAGGTGTTGGCTTGTGGGTGTAGGTGTAGGTGGTAGTGGGATGGACGTTGTGAAGGTGAGAGTGGGGTGAGGGAAGGTAGAGGTGTGTGGGTATGAGATAGGGTGGGGTAGGTGGCATTAGGGATGTGAGACGAAGAATGTGTGGTTGTGGGTTTAAGGGTGCAGATTGGTGTAGGTGGTATGGTTGTGCATTAGGTGGATGGGGTGTGGTTGAGATGATAATATTTTTCATTTTCTGAATCAATGATAAATAAAGAGGAGGTGGGAGGACATTTGTCTTTTTTTTTAATAAAATGTGAAGAAGAGGTGGTTGTGGTGGAACAATTATGATACGAGGAGGAAGTGTTGGTGTTGGTGCTCATAGCAGAGGAAGAACGGAAGCGAAAAGAGTGGGAGGAGGTCGTTGTAGTGGTGGAGCAAATGCAAGATCTGTTGGGGTTGAAGTCTGCAGCGGCGGTGACATGGTGGCCAAAAAAGGTTAAAAGCATTTGAATGCTAGGTTTTTTTTTCTTGATGGAGAGGATGGTGAGATGATTTTTACTTTAGATCTCATTTGACTTTCGTATATAATGTAGGGTAATAAGAAAAATGACAGTTGACAATGATATCCTTAACTTCGGGTGTTCCTCACAGTTCCTAACTTTTAGAGGCTGTGACATGTTCTCACATTCTCAACCTTGTAGTATTCTCAATTTGCATGCTTGCCTGCCTATATATATATATATATATATATATATATATATATATATATATATATATATATATATATATATATATATAATCCGTAAATAAATGTAAATACATTGTTATTATGGGTAAAATAATTACAAATATGTTGCTATTATGGGTAAAAAGGAAATATTGTCCACATTGGTAGCAAGAGTAAAGTACGTTGCTATTCCCTGCAATTTGCACATTCATTATTAGCTAACGTCGCTAACAAGTCAGAACTGCTACCAAGATAAAAACTCATTTTTGTTAAGTGATTTACAACAAAACTAATTCACTCACATACATGTAATATAAGCATAAAAAAAGTGTAGTTTTGGTGTGGTGTAAATGGAATAATCTGCAAAATTAAGTAAAAAAAACATGCCAATTACTGCGAAATGGAAGAGAAGAATTGCTCCAATTGGCTCTCACCTACTAATAACCCAAATTGCTTGGTAAAAACCGCATGAATCTTGTCTTCACCTAAATCTTTCAACACATCTTTTGTTGACATTTCAATGTACTCATTTAGGTTGTGCACATTTCCATCTGCAACAACAAACAACCAAAAAGAAAATAGTTAAAATTTCATGTTAGCACACAATAATGAGTTTGATATTAGTAAAAAAAATTATATTTTATACCTTCAGCTACTATGACTTCATATTCAGGTGGATTAGCCATCCAGTTTCCTTGAGAATCCTTCATGTGTCTTCTATCAGAGGCAAAATAACGGAGAAATATAGGAGCATGGACTATACGGAAAACCCTGTGATCATGGATTAATTTATCATTTTTACCAAAATTTATAAGGAATATATCAGCAATTTAATACCCAAGTTTTTTACCTCTGAAATTCAGAAAATAGCTCGAAAGATGGCCTTATACTCTCTGATATATATGATGATAGAGTTGATGGAAATGGAAGAGATGAATCCAAATCCCATACTAAATCCATGGACTTTCCTTCTTTTCTTCTCTGTTAAAGCATTAACAATTTCAAAATTCAGTAATAAATGGTTTAAGATTTCTATATAATTTCAATTGAATAAATGCATTGTTGAGTGAAAGTTCAAAGGCATTACCTGAATGCAAATTACATGGTAATCCCATAGAATTACCCCATCAGCTCTATGGCTAGCTTTCTGATGCCACAATGGAACCTGCATTATGATAATTAATCAAAAGTTATCCATATTTGAGCATGTATAAAAACGTTTTGTAATATTATCATAAACAAAGGAGAAAACATACATGTTTATTCTCATTGGAAATGAAGACAACAAAGAGATCTGATACATCAGCTACTTTATCTGCACATAGTTTCTTGCAGAGCAAATACACATTTTCTTCGCTACAACCAAATTCAAACACAAAATCTAAGCTCAAAACCCCACTTTTTAAATAATGAAACATCAAAACAAGCTAATGATCAACTCATATATTCATATGAATCCTCTAACAGAGTCTTTGATGCTATAAGTAGCAACAGATTCAATGTCAATTTCCATTTTGAACTTAAAGTATTAGTTTTAAATCGTGGAAATTCAATCTTAATCAAAACTTCATGCCTCAAATCTTGCAATTACTGAGACGCGGAACCATGATTAACAAAAAGAGATTACCAGATCAAAACTTTGTTCTTGACACGATGATGTCAATTGTGTCTTAAGTTCAGCTACTAAAACTTCCAATTCGCAATAGTGAATCATGCTGATTAGGGCATATGCAAATGATCATTTAAGCTTAAAAAATAATTATAATACTCGCAATAAAAATCGCGGATTTAATGAAGTACAAGGCGGTAGAAACGACAAATTCGTCCAAGAAGATGATGTTCATAAAACTCACTGAGCATGTTGATCGATTTTAGGGAGGGCATTACCAGTAAGAAGGGGTGTGATGAAATTGGGGAACGTCGGAGGAAGTGGAAGAATCTGAACCCAAACTCGAAGCCATCATCTTATTTTGATCTTCAGTGACATCCACAGGTGTTTATTACTTTTCAAATTTCATCGCTCATCTTTAGGCTTGAATCTTTGGTTATTAGTTGTTACTTGTTAAATCTAGGGTTCAAGGCTTAAGAAGATGTTCATTAGATGGGCTGTTCACTAAACTCAAATTTGTTTTGGCTATGTTTTTTTTTTTTTCGTGTTTTTCATTATTATTATTATTATTATATAAATATATTGAAGAAGTCTTTGATCTTATTGGACCATTTTTTTATATTTTATTTTATTTTATATATATATTTTTTATTTCTTTTCCATTGATTGGCTGATTTTTTTTTTTCTTTTTGATAATTATACTGCATAGTGTAATGGCCAGGTGTTATCTTCTCAAACTATCCACTGCCGATACACACTTTTCTTAATGTTCCCCACCGCTTCCCATTCTATGATCTCTCTGTATTATTCTCTATCGTTTCTTTTTTGCCTTATTCCTACATCGCCTTACAGTTAACACTTTTAGTTCCCGATCCTTCCATCCTCTAATCGACGTCTCCATCGGTTGCTTCTTCCTCCACCTTCACTCTTTGATCGCTGTCAATGTCGGCAACCACAACCCTACGAGCATTCGTATTAGACACGGAGGAATCAACGGCCTCGGCAGCACCAGTATCAACCACCACAACCATAAATCATAGATAGGGTCTCTAATTCATCACTTTCTTGCGTTTTTTTTTTTTATTTCTTTCACCTGAGGTCGACTCCTGTTTCTTGTATAAAGTTTTTTTCTCACTATTTCACTTTATTCAATGACTCTCTAACATTCAAGTTATATTCTCTTTCTCTACTGTCTGTGCTTAGGAGAAGAGACGACGTCATCATCATCCCAACCAGGAGAGCTCACCAGCTTCAGCGCCGATGCTCGCTGCAATTAGTAGAGTCAGGGGCAGACGCAGGCTACGAGGTATGGAAGAGCTATTTTACTGTTATTTCGATTTTGAATATTGGGGATTCTCTACTCATCACATATTTGTCTCATTTTTCTACACCTCCACCTCCGCTATTATAATATGGAAGGAAAAACCTATTCAGTTCTAAAATTAGAAAGTTCTTGAAGAAATACAAGCAAAATTTTAAGCTATATAGCTCCAAGGAAGCATATACAAATGAGTGATTGCTCCACATTGTAGTTAAGAGCTGAGGGTGTAACTCTTCAATAATCGATATGTAATGGGGATTATTCATCCACTAGGTTTCAGATATGCTTGAACAAGGCATAAAAAAATATCTCATATACAAGTATGTCTACGATTGTCTTCTTTTATCATTTTACAAATTTCAATTGCAGCATCTATCTTTGTTTCTATTTCTTGCAATAGACACAGGACACAAAAATAAAAAGGAGCATCCTCCGTCTCTTAAAAACTATATGTGTAATTGTGGAGATTCATGTTTGTACTCTCACTGTTGTTCATTGTACTCGAGACTTGAAGCAATTCAAAGGTTTTAATGGTAATCTTTTACAATAAGTTAGATCCCCTTTCTCATGAATTCTTGCTTATAGATTTGTTTGTAGTATCAGGTTGTGATGGAAGTTGTGAATAACCCTAGATAAATCAGTTATAAAGGACTCACTCACCTGATTTGCCCTCATTTTGGTCTTCTTCCATGTATGTGCAACTATATATTTTGGTGCTTTTTTTTTTCTAGGGTCATTGGACAAGAATTACTCAACAATGTTGTTCTTGCTGGCTACTTACTGAGACTTCTATGTATGTGAAACTATACATTTTGGTGCTTTTTTTTCTAGGGTCATTGGACAAGAATTACTCAACAATGTTGTTCTTGCTGGCTACTTACTGAGACTTCTAGGAAAGTAAGTATAAGCTTAACCACACTATAGCATGTTATTTTCAGTTACATTGAGGCTTGAGAAAAGAAAATTATGACCTGGTTATGCAAAATGGTTGATTTGGGTAGTCCTCAACTTAATTCTGTAAAATTTTGATTATCAGATGTTGACCAAATTATATGATTCCCTTGACTCAAAGGATTCAGAAGCAACAACTTGGTCCGAGATCTCTCTCCAGATATATGTCAACTAACAGTCCCGTGGTATTTGTAAGTCGAGTTTTCCGTTTACTTTTCATCTTTTTTTTTTTTTTCATTTTGAGTTTCTTTAATTATTTATATATCATTTACATAGCGAAGTGAAGAACAACAATTTACATATGAAAGAAATCTAAGTTTTCAAGTAATAATTACGAATTTACCCCTTTTCATCAACACACCAAAATTTGAAAACATTGGTTTCGGCTATAAGATTTGTTAAATATCTAACCTCAAATGCAAACTCTTTTACCACAAAAGAAAAATGAAAAAAGAAATCTATGAAACAAAGTGAGCGTCAAATTTGATGATGATTCACATACATTTATGCTCTGGAGTATTGGAAACTTCAAAAAGCATATCAAATATCATTTATTACACTTTCTTGCTAAGTATTCAAACTGATATTTTGTGGTTACCTTATTGATTACATGCTTATACAAGTGGCTGGTGGTTGTCGAGGTCAACAAAAATAATAACCCTAAATATTTCACACTAAAATAGTGTATAGTGGTAAAGGGGTTGAATCCACGGAGATTGGTTCAATTTATAACTCTATGAAAAATCTCTTTGTAAAAATACTTGTAAAATAACAATAACAATAAAATGGGGGGTTTTGGTGTTTTGAAATACTTGAAACAAACTAGAATTAACTATGATTTAAATAGACAATTTCAAGAAAAATAAGGGTTTGATGTAAAATCAATAAGGGAGAGATGGTTGACTTAAAGTTTCCTCACTTTGACTTTTGATGAACATATCATTAGAATCCAATGGTGCAATACTTTAATTTAAATCCTTAATTTGGCTATAGTAATCCAAGGAGCTTGAGATTACCTAGACTTTTCCTAATTGTTGAAATGGCTAGAGAAGCTCATAACAATTTCCTTAGTCAAAGTCACTAATCCAAATAGCATGTAATTAGTGAAAGTCAACTAGCATTAAGAACCAAAAAGTCATCAAATCCAAGAGAAGTCAATTGCTTTCACCACCATGGAGCATGTAATTCTTGAGGTGTTCTTGGCCTTCAAAAGTGCTCTAAACTCTAGAGAGAAAGCCTCCAAATCGGATGTAAAGGCTGAAGAGGCATACCAACCTTCCCAATATAGAGCCCTAGGTAAAATCCCGAATTTGCCCTTGTCAGGAATCCACGTGAGCCGCGGGCTCTGACGGGTTTTTGGGCTTCTTCAAGTCTTGGGCCCCCACAGCTAATCCATTGGCCCAATTCGAGTCCAATCAACTTCTAGCCCATTTTTCTTCAATATTTCTTCAATTTGAGCCCAATTTGTCTTTCCACATCACTCAAAACTTCCGCAAACTCCTAAATATCGATCTTGCACACCCAAGAATTCTCTCGTGCCCTTTCAAATTTAAAACTCAACACTTCCACACCTTCAAGCAATTGACAAGCCCACTCCATGAATCACCTCCACAGCGATCAAGCACGAAATCCCCATTGCTCTTCAAGTCCAATCACCTCCCAAAAGTCCCGCTCCGCTAGTCTCCAAAAAAATCTGCAATAATGCTCAAGAAACTAGAAAGTACCCGAAATGGTCATAAAAATAACAAAAAGGAAAATATGCATGGAAATTAACTAAAATGCGAATGAAATGTGCTAAAAAAAAAACTATAAAAGCAAGTAAATAAAATGAAGTTATCAGTGGCTATTTGTTTCTCTTTGACAGCAAAACTATTCACAAAGGGACCTTAGGATTAACAGTTATATAAATTACGAATTTACCCTTTCTCATCCACACACACGAACAAAATTTTGAATTTGTTATAATTTCAGATGACCCTAAACTAAAAAGTGTGTATGCTATTGAGTGCCAAGTTGAGTAAATCGAATTACTTCAAACTCAAGTTAGCTACCATTCACTTTATGCTTTACTTTTATAAAATAAATTCAATTTTTAAAGGTTAATACTGATCTTTTCCATTATTGTATAAATCTCAGGTTTTCAGTGAAATTGCTCCTATAGATGTAACGCCCGTAGATCGGGGTAGTCAAATTAGAGACGATAAGCATCAAAAATGACTTTTTGATGAAATATTATTTGGAAGGATTAATCTTAACCAAGTTGTGGTATATGTCACAAGGTTTCCGTGCATATAAAGAACGCCAAAATCCGAGTTATAACGAAGAAGTTATGACCTGTCGAAGTTTCGTGATAGAACCACATAACCCTGCGCGACCCAGTGCGACGTAAATAATGAACTTAAGGTAGATAGATATCTATCCTTAGTGATCTAAACAAGAGTTGAAGATTTATTCGATAGTAGTCCAACGATAAAAAGACAGACGAAAACGGAGTTCAGTTGAAGGAGTTATGAATTTCGAACGGAGTTTTCCTGTCTCGGCCTACTATAGATAATATATAAGGAATATACTTATAATATATTAAAAATAAAGTCAAAATTAGCCAATGGAGTGTAAACGAGAGTTGTAGAGCATAATCTCACATTCGCGTCGATATAAAAAACGTCGAAAACGGAGTTCGTATGCGAAAGTTACGAATTTCTGAAGTTCAGGGTGCGAAACCCCAAAACTGTCAGAGACCACGACGTGGCAAGCAGTGCCACGACGTGGAAAGTCTCCTGACAGCTCCGGGAGTCCCCCATATGCAACTTGGGATGATGCATGCAGTGACGATCAAGCCCACGATGTGGCAAAAGGATCCCACGACGTGGCAAAAGGATCCCACGACGTGGCAAGGGCCAAATTTCCCTATAAATAGATTTGAAGGGCCAGCCGACTATGGTTGCTCCATCCCTTCTCTCCCACTCCCGATACACCCTCTATGCCCTATTTTAACCCCCCGAAGCCCCGATATCAACCCCGAGACCCGAAGCAAGTCCCGAAGCCCAAAGATCCCGAGAAGAAAAGAGTTTCCGAGCCGAAGCTTTGCCCGCGAGAAACTAGGTGTGTGAAGTGATCCCGGTTTCACCGAAGAATACTACTTCTACAAGCCGTAGTGCTGTCCGATCATCTTCTGATCAAGTGAGTGTATAGTCCCTTTCATAAACTCGATAATAATACAAGTATTGTTTGAATGTATTAAGTATATTGTTGTTTATATGTGTGA